CCTCCCTTCCTTTCTGAAATCAATAATTAATATATATAATATATATATTATATATATTTTTAGATGATTAAGATGCAAATTATTTTTATCTAATAGAGATACAAATTATTCATGTCCAATATAAATCTTTTGGTTTTATTGTGCTATGGAACATTAGTCAGTTTCCTAGTCTTTTAAAAAATATATATTTTATTGATTTTTTTGCAGAGAGGAAGGGAGAGGGATAGAGAGTTAGAAACATCAATCAGCTGCCTCCTGCACACCCCCTACTGGGGATGTGCCCGCAACCAAGGTACATGCCCTTGACCGCAATCGAACCTGGGATCCTTCAGTCCACAGGCTGACGCTGTATACACTGAGCCAAACCGGTTTCAGCAAGTTTCCTATTCTTTATCTTACTTTGCAATCTACTCAGCATTCTTTTCTTCCTTTGCTAAGCCATACACACATGCCCACTGGCATGCACGCAGGCACGCACTCAAGCACGCACGCAAACACACACAATCTCCTATCTCCCCCTTTGAACCAGCTCGTTTCTTCATAAATGAGGCAAGTAAATCTTGGACAAATATATTTGTATAAAGATCATGTTTCTAACTTTTAAAGATTTGTACTTTGACAGAGATAAACTATTTAAATTTATATTTTGGGCAAACAATTTAATGTGCAAAGCTTCAGTAGGCTCATTTATAAAATGAACAATTTCTAAAACAAAGACTTTCCTCATAGGGTTCTTGAGAATTGAGTGAGGTAATAATTATAAAATATTTAACACAGCTCTTGGCTTGTAAAAATTGCTAAATAAATGTTAGGTATTGTGATTATTATTTAAGAAGGCTTTATCAATTGCATTTCTAGATGTCTATGTCTCTTAGTTCCTATTTTTATGTTCCTCCATACAAATGCTGAAAGTCCCAAATGTGTTCTGGGCACGATGTCTGTATCTCCTGCTTTGGCTTCACTACTCAGCACGTTTTCATCCTTTCTGTAACAATGGGAGAGGATCTCTGGCCAATATCTGGCTTCAGTTTGTAAGAGTCTTCCAGGCCCCGAACAACTAGAAACCTTCCCCTGCAGGCACCCTCTCTCCTCTCCCTCCCCCTTCTCCTATGCTCTTTCCAGCTAGCAAAAGTCATTGACTCCATACTTCCTGCCTTGCACTGTAAACATTCCCTCCAGCTGCCGCCTGCATTCATTCCACGTTTAACTATTTAAATGCTGCTGAAGACCCTTTTTCCAGAACAGTGCTCACACCCAGGCACGTGCAACATTGTTATTAATTTTCTTGCTATTATTAATGCACATACGACATTGTTATCCTCTGAGTTTAAAGAATTGTTCAACAGGCCTGGCCGTGTGGCTTAGGGGCAATGAGCATGGACTCATGAGCCAAGAAGTCACAGTTCATTTCCCGGTCAGTGCATGATCCTGAGTGATGAATCTCTGTCATCATTGGTGTTTCTATCTCTCTCTCCCTCTCCCTTTCTCAGAAATCAATAAAAACATTTAAAAAATAATTGTTCACAGAATTTTCCTCCATTTCCCTTAAGCCTCCTTATGTTCCCTATTCTACGACATCCATCTGTACCATTCTAATATAAAATTAATTTTTTTGATGTTGTTAATTCTGGGAATGGTGCCAAGAATATTTTTTCTACAGCTCAAGACTGTTTATTGAGAATCTTCTATGTGTGTCACATTATAATTTATTTACCACCTAAGAAACTAATCAACAAGGAAGAGAGAGGAGGATTTTGTTCTTTGGTTTTCCAAGTTTGTTCACTAGACTTAGAAAATTTAATCTAGAATGTAACTTGACAGGGTCTTGGCACAGAAGTACTATTCACACCTTTGCAATAAAGATAATAAAGACAGTGTTGAGTTAGAGAGAGAATAAAATAGAGATGTGCCAGAGAGATCAATAGACCATTCAAATAGCTTTATAGTGTGGCTCTCAAGGGTCATAAGAGTAGTCCTTAGCTTTATGGGCCCAGAAACTTCCATTTTTGGTTTAAACATTAGAATTTTGTGAGGGATGTTTTGGTCTGATATTTGCAAATTAGAATGTAACATGTTGCCCTAACCAGTTTGGCCTGCTGACTGAAAGGTCCCAGGTTCGATTCTGGTCAAGGGCATGTACCTTGGTTGCAGGTGTGCAAGAAGCAGCTGGTCGATGTTTCTCTCTCATCGATGTTTCTGTCTATCTCCTTTCCTTTGTGTAAAAAAAATCAATAAAATATATATTTTTAAAAAAGAATGTAAAATGTTTTCTCTTCAGTGATACTGGAGTGGAGAGAGGCAAAGAAATCTTGAATTCAGTTTGAAGCCAAATACTCATATTTTGCTATTGACTCACAACACCACATGAAGCACTTCGTTTCATTACAGTACTTATATTCTATTTAAACTTTGAGTTGCATCTGAAGTGAGCAAATTGTCCTTAACACATTGTCAAATAGCAACACTTCCTTATGATGTTAATAATAAGGGCAGATGTCTAGGGGAACTAGGCCAATTCCATTTGTATCACTCTCAGTTCTAAATTTTCTAGCTTTAAAACCTGGGGCAAGCTGCTCAATCTGCTTGTCCTTGGTTTTCTCATCTGTGAAATGGGGACAATGATAGCAACTACCTGACGGGATTGTTGTGAGGATTAAATATAAGAGCATTTAGAATAGTGTCTGCTATAGTGTAAGTACTTAGCGTTAACAGCTATGTTAATTTTATTGCTATTAGTAAGCCATTTTACCTGAACTCACTGTGTGCTATAAGAATGACTTTTGAATATTTGTATAGAAGTTAGCACATTGTAAATATGAATGGGTATTCAATACCAGGCGGTTGTACTAAATAGTAATAAAACCCAGCAATGGAATCAACCTCACTTCTTTAAATAGAAAAGCAAAACCTGAAAGGGTAGGAATAGTTTCATCATTTAAAAATGTGACCATTTGAAAGTCTCTTCTTTACTAAGAACCAAGACATGATCTAAATCAAATGCTAAACTCTGTGTATCATTTTGCTAGGCCTGCCTCAACAGAATGCCACGGACTGGATGCCAGGAACAACAGAAAAGGCATTTTTCACAGTTCTGGAGGGTGGGAATCCAATATCAAGGTGCTGGCAGGGTTGGTTTCTGGTGCGGCCACTCTCCCTGGCTTGCAGATAGCCACCTTCTTGCTACGTCCTCACCTGCTGTACATATACTCCTACTTTCTGTGGTATTAAACAAGTTTTCAGTATATGAAATGCAATCCATCTTGAAATACCATTTTTACCACATAATGAGCCTGCAACTTATTTTCTGCTTCTGATCTTTTTTTTTAAACATATATTTTATTGATTTCCAGAGAGGATGGAAGAGGGAGAGAGAGAGAGATAGAAACATCAATGATAACAATGGTAAGATATGTACACATATTAATATAATACCTTAATAAAAAAAAAACATTAATGATGAGAGAGAATCACTGATAGGCTGCCCCCTGCACATCCTACCCTGGGGATGGAGCCCGCACTCTGGGCATGTGCCCTGATCAGAACTGAGCCAGTGATCTCCTGATTCCTGGGTAGACGCTCAGCCCCTGAGCCACACCAGCTGGGCTCTTCTTCTGGCCTTTACTACCACATGGAAAGCTATTCCAGAGTTTAAAAAAAATAGAAATTGCTTTTGAAATTTAAAAAAAAAAGCATAGAAGAATCATTTAGTGACAATTAGGAGAAAATAGAGTAAATGTTAACAGGGTTGAAAAACAAAATAAGGTAAAATCTATTTCAGAACATACCTTCTGGCCCTTATGCATACCTTTAGGATTATCTACACAAAGCTGAATCACACACACACACACACCTTGTGCTAAGAAAAGCTATAGATATTTATGCTCATTCTGCTTAACAACGCATATGTGTAGAACCTAAAGCTATGGTTGGTTACTTTTACTCTGAACACGAAGTAGAAATGAGTCCAGACAAAACATGAAGTGTGCTTTCCCAGAGTCCTCTCCTGCCATAGAACACAGCGAATGTTGTCCTCTGGGAGAGAGACAAGCCATTGAAATTCAGAGAACAGATTCTTAATGCTGGCAAGCTATTTTTAGCTCAAGCTGTAGCTTAATTTGGAATCCAACCAGTTAAGGTCTTGCCTTTTTCTTGGATTGATTTTTTTTTTTTTTAATGGCAGTTAGATAGCTCCACATATGGAGAAAGAGTTCTTCAAAAGTAGCATTTTTAAATGTTCTTGAAGAATATGTGTTTTAAAACTCATAGAAAAAGTATTCATGTTAGAGCTTTGAAAGTTTTTTTTTTTTTTTTTTTTTTCAATCTGTAGATGGTTGTTTTTAGAGTCTCTGGGTATGGCCTTAAAAGAAAAAAAAAAAAAAAAGATGCTCTTAATTTGTTTATTCAACCACAGTTCTAATGGGATATGCAACCTGCCCAGCTACCTGATGGAATAGCAATTCTTGCTACCTTGATGTCAGGTGCCAGGCCTGGGAGGCCAGAGCCAAATAAGGATGTGGGGTTCTTTTCCAATGAAACACGGATGACGCTGGTGTGCGGGAGGGCCCCGGAATAGGATGCAGTGGCGGTTTCCATGGAGGATTTGGCAGGGGCATCCGGGGCCGGGGTCGGGGCAGGGGCTGAGGTCTTGGAGCTCGTGGAGGCAAGGCCAAGGACAAGGAGTGGATCCCTGTCACCGTCACCAAGCTGGGCCGCCTGGTCAAGGACATGAAGATCCAATCCCTAGAGGAAATCTACCTGTTCTCCCTGCCCATCAAGGAATCTGAGATCATTCACTTTTTCTTGGGGGCATCCCTCAAGAATGAGGTGTTAAAGATCACACCTGGGCAAAAGCAGACCCGTGCTGGCCAGAGACCCGGTTCAAGGCATTTGTTGCCATTGGGGATCACAATGGACATGTTGGTCTGGGTGTTAAGGGCTCAAAGGAAGTAGCCACTGCCACCCGTGGAGCCATCATCCTGGCCAAGCACTCTATTGTGCCCATGATCGGCAAGCCCCACATGGTTCCTTGTACGGTGACTGGCCACTGTGGCTCTGTCCTGGTGCGCCTCATCCCTGCCCCCAGTGGTACGGGCATTGTCTCAGCCCCTGTGCCTAAGAAGTTGCTGATGATGGCCGGTATTGATGACTGCTACACCTCAGCCAGGGGCTGCATTGCCACCCTGAGCAACTTTGCCAAGACCACCTCTGATGCCATCTCTGAGACCTACAGCTATCTCACCCCAGATCTCTGGAAAGAGACTGCGTTCACCAAGTCTCCCTGTCAGGAATTCACTGACCATCTTATAAAGACCCACACCAGAGTTTCTGTGCAGAGGACCCAGGCCCTAGCTGTGGCCACCACATAATTTTATTTTATTATTTTATTTTATTTTATTTTATTTTATTTTATTTTTTTGACACAACTATCCCACCTTTTATTCAACAAATGGACGGGGATGGAGACGCAAGGACAGGACAACAGCAGTTTCAATAAATAAGAACCGGGGACAACAGTGAAGCTGCGCCTGCACAGCCTCCCATAAATAACCAGGATGCTGAGCTAGGGTGGCAAGGGGCTGGGCAGTTACCCGCACTGCCCACACCAGGGGACACACACCAACACCACAGGGACACAGACCTACGACAGCGGTGCCTCCTGCTGTTTGTGTTTATTTAAATCGATAAAACAGACTTGGCCTGGGTGGGGCCCAGCCACCCCCAAGGTCTCAGGAGCTCTGGGGGAGGCCCCAGCCTTGGGAGCCCTGGCCGGGTTGGGCAGGAGCCTGGAGGTGGGAGCGGTGCCAGCCAGCTGCAGCCTCGGGGGACAGCAGCACCTCGGGCCACTTCTCCACCACATAATTTTATACAAGAAAAATAAAGTGATGATTTAAGCCTAAAAAAAAAAAAAAAAGGATGTGGGGAGTTTCTTGGCTTCCTGGAGACTGTGCTACTCATGCTCCAAAGGATCTCCCTGGGCTTAAAGCGTAGCTGATTCTATCAGCCCTGATGACGTATCTGCTGCAAGGACCCCTGCTCTTTTTTATATATACGTGTGGTATTTTTTTAAATTGATATTTTTAGAGAGAGAGGAAGGAAGAGGGATAGAGAGATAGAAACATCAATGAGAGAGATATATCAATTGGCTGCCTCCTGCACATCCCCTTCTGGAGATCTGGGCATGTTCTCTGACCAAGAATTGAACCAGGAACCTCTTAGTTCATAGGTTAATGCTCAACCACTTAGCCACACCAGCTGGGCAGGACCCCTGCTCTTGACTGCCCATCAGAGTGGTCTAAATTCAAATTCTAATAAAATAAAAATTAATGTCCTCAGTCGCAATAGCCACATTTCAAATGCCCGGCAGCCACGTGTGTCTAGTGGGCTGCTATATTGGATAGTGTAGAATCTTTCCATCATAACAGAAAATTCTATTTTTTTTATTTTACAAATATATAGCTCACTATTTACCAAGTGCTATAATAACTCTATGGGCTGATATAATTATTTTAAAAATATATTTTATTGATTTTTTTATAGAGAGGAAGAGAGAGGGATAGAGAGTTAGAAACGTCTATGAGAGAGAGTCATCAATCAGCTGCCTCTTGCACATCCCCTACTGGGATGTGCCTGCAACCAAAATACATGCCCTTGACTGGAATCGAACCTGGGACCTTTCCGTCTGCAGGCCAATACTCTATCCACTAAGCCAAACTGGTTTCGGCTGGGCTGATATAAATACCTCCATTTTCCAGATGAGGAAACTGAGGTGCAGAGCCATTAAGTAAGTGACAGAGCCCGATATGAACCCAGGCATTCTGACTTCAGAGCCGATGGTCTTAAACCCACATTTAATTTGGCCCTTATGAAGATTTGTGTGATTTTGAAGAATAACTTCACGTCACTCATCAAATCAGGAAAGTTGACCAAATGCTATTTAAGGTCCTTTCCACTGCCCAGGGTCTAGGATATATTCACTTACATAGTTGTTGTTGAGTGCCCGCTCTGGGTAGGAAGTATATTAGATGCTGCAAACAAACAAAGCAGACATGGACCCTTGTCCTCACAGTGAGAGAAACAGACATGAATCAAACATGTAAATAAACTACATGGACAAGGGCAAAGGGACGCCCTGTGAAAAAGGTTGGCTTTTGGTGCTGAGAGTGTTTAGTGAGATTTGAGCAGTCAGAGAAGCCAGACATGGCTCTTTTGAGCAGGCAGAACAGAGAGCTGGAGCAGGGCAGCCAAGAGGAGGGAAGATCAGGGGACCTCCATGGTCCTGGCTGCTGCCACCCAGTGCGGGTTAGCTGTGCCCACATGCCCCAGTGGTGGGGTGTGTGCCGTGGGTCTCTGTGGTGTGGTGTGTGTGCCGTGGGTCTCTGTGGCGGGGTGTGTGCCGTGGGTCTCTGTGGTGTGGTGTGTGTGCCGTGGGTCTCTGTGGCGGGGTGTGTGCCGTGGGTCTCTGTGGTGGTGTGTGCCGTGGGTCTCTGCGGTGGGGTGTGTTCCGTGGGTCTCTGTGGTGGGGTGTGTGCCGTGGGTCTCTGCGGTGGGGTGTGTTCCGTGGGTCTCTGTGGTGGGGTGTGTGCCGTGGGTCTCTGTGGCGGGGGGTGTGCCGTGGGTCTCTGTGGTGGGGTGTGTACCGTGGGTCTCCGTGGTGGGGTGTGTTCCGTGGGTCTCTGTGGTGGGGTGTGTGCCGTGGGTCTCTGTGGTGGGGTGTGTGCCGTGGGTCTCTGTGGTGGTGTGTGTGCCATGGGTCTCTGTGGTGGGGTGTGTGCCGTGGGTCTCCGTGGTGGGGTGTGTGCCGTGGGTCTCCGTGGTGGGGTGTGTGCCGTGGGTCTCCGTGGTGGGGTGTGTGCCGTGGGTCTCCGTGGTGGGGTGTGTGCCGTGGGTCTCCGTGGTGGGGTGTGTGCCGTGGGTCTCCGTGGTGGGGTGTGTGCCGTGGGTCTCTGTGGTGGGGTGTGTGCCGTGGGTCTCTGCGGTGGGGTGTGTTCCGTGGGTCTCTGTGGTGGGGTGTGTTCCGTGGGTCTCTGTGGTGGGGTGTGTTCCGTGGATCTCAGGCTGGAGTGTGGGTGAGCAGGGCCACAGAGAAACAAAAATTTGCCCTCCCTCCGGGCACTCTTCTCCTTGGTTTGCCAGGATTCATGTCTCCTGGGCAACCAGTGCCTGTGCCTACGTCAGAGTTAAAAATGGAACGTAGGCTAACATCTGTAATGGGGACCAAAAATAATTTGGGTCTTAGCCCGTGCACAGCGTACACACGGGGGGAGGGGGGGGGATCATTGAGCACATGCCTATGTAATGTCAGGGTGTGACTAGTCAAGTGTGTGCAAAATTTCAGCTGTAGAATCGATGCAGGAAACTTCAGGTTAGAAGATGATTTGCTTGAGGGCTTCAGACTGCAGAGACTTCGCTCCAGAAAGAGCACTGATTCTCAACTCAGTGGGTGGAAAATTTTGTTAAGGGGGGGAAAAAATTAAAAGAACGAAAAGAGCAAATAGGAATCCATTTTGAAGGGGCTTCTACTCCTCCTCTCATTTTCCGGCTGTAGGTTTTCCCCAACGCTCGGGCTTCAGTGTCTTTTGCTTCAACAAATGCATTTCAGCTCCTGGCTTTAACCAGCTCAGCTGTAGATGGTATAAATGCAGACAGAAGGCCAACAGGGAGATATCCTACTCTGGTTTTGAACCTGAATACTAGGAAGAAGGATTGACTTCTGAGGGTTAACCACTGGCTCGGAACAGATATTGGTCCTTTAGAGATACCTTAAAACTGGGCTTGCAAACACAGTACCTTTAGCAATAGAACCGAGGGACCCAGGCTGGGCAGAGGCCATGATCAACTGAGGACTGTGAACTGCTGCCATCAGTCCAGCTAATTAGTCCTTTTTCCTATTTTCTTTTTTCTTTTTTTTCTAAAGGGAAGTCAGAAATCTGAATCTTTGTGTGAAGTGTAGGCAATTGATGTTGATAGTTAAGTGGCATAAGATGTCTGAAGGGACAGGTGTCTTTTGCCGCTTAGATTTGATCGTCCTTGTCATATCTAAAGAAAGAAGCTGCCTAGAGGGAGGGGAGTGGCCTGAAGAAAAGCATAGCGAAGGGAAGGCAAACAAGAGTGAACAGAGGCGAAGGGCCTCTATTTCTGCAATCCCGGGTGAGAAGGGCTAAAGAAATCACTCCACGTAGGAGGTGCATGTTGAGTCTCATGTGTGGAGTTGGCCTCGGCTAACCATCGTTTGATAACATCAACCACAGGGATTAACCAGCTAATGCTGTCCACATGGGTTTGGTGCTCACCATGCTACCTCTGCTTATAGTTTGGTTTCCGAAGATCTGTCCATAGATAGAGCATGCAAATATGAACATCCACTTTATCGGGTAGTTTTACTTCACTTCCCCAAATAGTAATGGTTCAATTCTGGTTAAACTAAGTGTGTCCCCCAGGACCTTCTGGCCTAAGACATGCCTGAAAATTAAACTTCTATGTGATAAGCAGGTTTTATGTCTGGAATCACTCATTCCTCCCAGGAGCCTTGGCTTCTGGAGTGGAAATGGCATTTAAAGGCCACAGTCTGTGCTGTTATTACAACGAGGCCTTTTCAGTGGTCAGAGCGAGAAAGTATGTATTTCTGGAAATTAAAAAAATAAATCACAGGCTCATACTCATATCTCCAGTTTCAACATTATAGGGTATATGTATTACTATGGAAAATCTTGATTCCTAACAAAGAAGTTATTTGCTTTATTTGCAATATAAAAATAGTTTCAGCCCAGCCAGCGTGGCTCAGTGGTTGAGTGTCGACCTATGAACCAGGAGGTCATGGTTTGATTCCCAGTCAGGGCACATGCCCAGTCTGTGGGCTCAATCTCTCTCTTTTTTTCTCTTTCTCTTTGAAATCAATAAAAAACATATAGAGCCTGGGCTGAACCCCTGAACCGGCAGCACTGAGCCCCAGTTATGGGTCAGACCCTGGGGACCCAGGCTCCGGCGGGAGGAGACGGGGCTGTGAGGCGGAAAAGCAGGGAAAAGCAGGGCCCCCGGAGTCGCGCGCAAAGCGCGCGCAGAGGACAGGCTGTTGACTCTGATGCTGGACTTCCCTAGCGGAAAGGAGAAAAAAAAGCTCCAGGCTGGGGGAACGCGGAGGGGAGCGGAAGCCCCTGCTGACGCCAGCCAACTGGGCACCAGCAAGGAGGCGGGCCACGGGGCCCCTGGGGGCATGGGTGCCCCTGAGCCTTTGACCACTGAGCTCGGGCAATGGAACCAAGGCCGGGGGCTGCTTCCTGGGCGGCGCAGTCCCGGCAACAGGCTGAAGCAGCGAAGGAGCCCTCGGAGAACAAAGGGGTGCCACAGGCCAACCTGCTGAGCTCCCAGG